AGTGAAACAGCTCAGCAGTCATCACATTATAACGCTTTTGGTGGTGACTTTCATCACAGTTCCATAGTGTGCCCAGTCCTCTGGCTCTCACCAAGAAATTGCCTCCTTCACAACCAAGAAAAGTCTTGATAGTAATATGCTATATGCTCCTCAATCCCTCCCTTAAGGATCATGCAGGAGCTTCGAAGACCGGGCAGACAGAATGATTTGCATAGGTAAATTCTCCTTTTAAAAACCTGCGAACATGAATATCTATCTATCTATCTATCATCTATCTATCTATCTATATGACTAATTCATATATTCGTATACCAGGGGTGTGAAAAAAAATGTATACAAGTGGACACTTTGGTCAATGTTGCTCAAGCAGTAGTTCGCTGTAATCAGAAGTGTCTGGATGCTGATGGTAAGTAAATACATTGAGTACCTCGTGTAATTGCAGAAGTCAAACGTGACTTGTATTCATATTTTGTTATTGGTATATATTGAGTATTACAATTTAAAAACAGTTTTCTTTTCTTAAAAGCGTATACATTTTTTTGGCATCCTCTGAAAATATGTATTGTATATATTTTTCCCCCCAGGAACTAAGGATCCTGTCACTGCTCTGATCTGAGCTAGCTACTGGAATGAAAAACAAAGGGTGGTATTGGCCAAGGGAGAGGACACAGATAGATCAGAAGTCATGGACATGGTTTTCATGTTATCTGTATAGAATCACAATATTCAAAATGACTTATATGTGTTACGTCTCTCTGCACCATTTTAAATCTCTTGTACATGTTACCCGCAAGCTGAGGTGTGTAGTTCAATTCTAGTTGTAATACACTGTGATAATTGAATGCTTTTATATTGTGATTATCAAAAGAATGGACCAGGATTTTTGAGCTAGCAATTTTGCAGTGTAAAAAAAGAAAAACATTGGAAGAAACAAAAATGGCTGTTCACAAATAATTCTTCTAGAAGCCACAGGAATGGGATGCTGTTTTTTGTTGTTTGTTTGTTTTTAAGTTTTTGGTTAAGCAGAAATCACTTTTTGGACTTCTCAGAAAATTCTTGGTTTTAGAAAAAGTATGCAAGGAGTATTTTTCTAGAGCGTGAGGCCTAAACTTTTCTTAGGAAAAAAAAATCTAAACCGAAGCAAGATATTCACATGCTATTATTGAAGAAATCGCTAAAATTTTGTGTACTTTCCCTCCAACAGTTGCATTTCCAATTTTAGTCCCCCTACCCCATGAACACTGAAGAAAAATAAGCATTTTATTATGTGAAAAAAAAAAAGTCCGTAGTCTGTGTCAACTGGCTCTCAGACTTAGTCTGAAAAACCAGCTTTGATCAAATTACTTTCTGAACAAATGGCCTTTGACTGGGTTGGTGAATGGATAGCCCAGGCACCCTGGGTTTTAGCAGCTTTCTATCTGTTTATCGCTGGTACCAGGCTTGGTCTCACTTCTGTTCTCTTCCCTGTCTCATTTGGCACAAGAAAGATGCCCTAGAAGAGGAAACTGGTCTTCCTTTCTCTCTATCCCCACTCTCATTTTTTCTTGAATGAATGCCCATTTGCTTATGGCCTCTCTGATACAAACCAAACATTCAGAATGCTAGAGCTATTCCAATAGCAGCAATTCTAATTCACCCTTTTTTTTCTCTCATAGATGAGAAAAGTCTCTGATTCCCCACCCTTCTTATGGGGAATTAAGACTGGTAGTACCCTATTTGTCTGTATACACTCAGAATGACCTCTCTAGACATTATTAGATGCAGATGTACCAAGAAAACAACCCATTACAAAGGTCAGAGTGGGCTCTGTTTGAGGAAAAGGATGGTGGCATGATGTTCAAAAATGACTTTTCACTCGTGTAACAAGCATAACTGCATCCTCTATCTTTTATGACTGGCTATACACAGGGTAAAGGGCTTCTAGTAGTTTAAGAGCAGTCATTTCCTTGCAACTGGATATTATGCACTGAGATAACTGGGGACTCAGTGCATGGATGTACCAGAAGCTAAAACAAAAATAGTCACTGATTACTTGGAAAGCACCTGATTTGAGCTTTATAGTTGAGCTTTAATTGAGCTTTGTGTTCTTTTCTTTTCCTTTTCCTTTTTTTAGAAAAAGTAACTGATTTCATTGAGTCAATTCAGGTCACAAAAAGTCTCTTTCTACTGGCAAAAGTTGTTTTGCTTTCTGACTCCACAGATATAGAGAAGAGCAGCTTCCTGTGGCCATTTCAAAACAAATGCCTCCTCCGAGGGAAATAATAGACCCTGGAGAAAGAGGAAGAGATCCAACCTCAGGACCTGCAGAATTTCTAATCATGCCATCATCACCCTGCATGTACACTCTTAGTCTTTGTTTCCTTCTCACAGTGGGCCCTTCCTACCCTCTCAGCCTGCTCACTGCTCCTTTAGCCACAGGCTATTTTGTTGTGTAGTTGCTGCCAACTTGGCTGGTGAGAAGCCAGGCCTGGAGGAAATAGAGGGTCCTGGCAAGAACACAGACTGAAAGCCCCAACAGGGTCAGCTTCTGATTCCTCCCACACTACAACTGCCTCCATTAAAAATGGTATAGAACTAGAAGTCACTGTGGACTCACCAGAGACCTGGTTAGCAAAAAGTGGTCCTACAATGGATACAGAAAGGGGATACAGTCTCTGAGTATGTGGACAGGTGGCAGGAATGGAGAGGGAGGACCATAAGGTCCCTGAGGGCCAGGGTAAAGCAGCTCACTTAGGAAAACGTTCTGAAAACCTCTGGGCTTATGTCTGCTTACATCAAAACAAGACCAGGCAAACCTCATAGAGTGTGGGCACCTTCAGGAGGGAAGATTTGGAGCCACTGAGGCTCTCTGAAAAAATGCCTGTGTGAGGTCCGCTGGCACCTTCTTCGAAGGTAGAAGAGCCTCCTGTGACTCTGGTATGCACTGCTCTGAGTTGCTCACTCTGTCCCACTATCTACCTTTTGTCCTTCCCTCAGTCCCTGGATGATGCTGGGTGGGAAGGACCAGGCAAGCTGGCGGCCTGTCCTGGCGAGCGTTGGTCTCAGGGAGTCCCGGCCTCTGTGTACAACCAAAGGAAGGCTGTAGATATTGAGCTTGTCCCTCCAGTGAAGGAAAGCTTAAATATTGGCTTCTTCACCTTGACTTCTCTTTTCTTAGCCTTTTGGATGCCAGCCGGAGGATATAGGCTTTGAATTGATTCCTGTAGCTACTGACTGGATCATACCTACAGCTACAGAAAACGTAAGAGAAATTCACCGCCCGGCTTCCCACACAGGATTAGGAGAGGATGGGAATGAAGGCTTAGATATTGGGGCTGAGAAAAGTAAGCCTAAGGTGGTGGGGCTACTGAACATGTGGTCTAGGGGTTAAGGAGCTGAGGTAAAAGAGTACAAGGGGATGCCCAACCCCTCTCCAGCTGACGCACGCGCAATCGGAGTCTGGTGCCTAAGAGACTGGGGCGACTCATTAACCTGTTAGTTTTTCGGTCCTCTGTCGGGTAGGGATGGTTGAAAACTAGCCTTCGAGGATCCTCGGCATTCTCTCTGAAGGCAGGCGCATGCACCTTCTTCACAACCTTGCTTCTGGGGCTGGGAGAGGGTGGAAATTAAGAACAGCCCAGCGCACCGACCGTGGGCGCGCGTCCAGCTAGCCCTGGCGACCTTGCCCAGGCTCCGCCGCTAGTGAATGGACTGCGGGACCGCCTCCCGCCAGCAGGCTTTTGATGATCGAAAAGTAACCAGAGAAAAAGTGGTACAGGCTTCAACTCTCTATGAATGGCGTTTAAGCGAGTAGAGCCCGGAGTAGCCGAGGCCGTGAAATGAGAATTTTTCCGATCGCAGATTTGCAGTGAACACAGGCTTAGCGAAGAGGGGCTGCCCAGCGGGTTAGGCAGGGCGCCGGGCATGGAGGGAGCAGCCTGAGAGGGAGCTCAGGGCGACCGTTTCCTCTCTCTGCGGAGCTGCGGAGGGACGGAGCTTTTCGGCTCCGAGCGCGAAACACGCGCAGTGTTGTCTTCTTACACTTTTCAGCTTTTTGGTAGGCCTTTTTTTTTTTTTAAAGACCCAAATACAGGTTCAACTCTTTTGTTACAGATTTTTAAAGTTTAGTGGCATCTATTTTACTTGTTTACACACACCATGCCAGTTTGGTTCTAAGATAGCATATTTATTTATTTATTTAACCTCCCCCCCCCTCCCCCGTATCAAAGAGGGTTGAGAAGGGACCTGGGGTCTGGTTTGCGAAACTCAATCGCTGCGCACAGCTGGTCTCTTCTTTCCTCATAGTGCATGCTCAGCTTTTCCTAGATTCTCGCCCTTCGACCCCAGAGGAGGTTGGCGGGCACCTTGACACCCTCCAAGTTGAGACGGACTAAAAAGCCCCAGCAGGCGTCTTGGCCTTCCTGGGTCGTCCCTAGAGAAAGGTTTGATCCCCAACTGGAACTTTGCAGGGGGGTGAGAAGGATATAAGAATGGTTGTTTTAGTGGAGGTGGGGCTCTAGAAGCTGAAACAAAGAAAAATAATAATAAGAGGCCAAATCTCAGCTCCAGAAACTCAGCCCTAGTGATCTCACCTCCAGGGTTTGGGCAGGGAGCTGACAGTGTGTCTATGGCAGGATCCACACCCCTGCTCTTACAGCAGAGTCCTAGGGAAGAGGGGGAGAAACAAACACAACTGGGTTTGTTTTGGAAAAATCTTTGCCATTTGAGGCATGGACGGTAGACTGTGTGACCCACAGGGGAACTTAGTGATGGCATCCAGCAGCACCATTGGGTCTTAAACTCTGACAGCTTTGTACAGACCCACTGTGTCTACTTACAGAAGACACAGCATCTCACAATCATTCACCCTGGAAAAAGGTCAAGTGGACTGTTCTGAGAGACCTGGGTTTCTGTTTTCAACGTGCACTTTCAGGATTGCCTTGTAAGGGTCTGCCTCCTCTTGAGTTAAGCCAGAAGCATAGAGCTTGAACCTAGAACAGTGGGAAGAGAAGGGTGTTCAGCCCAGGACAGCATCTTATATAATGTGTCATGGATATTGTGCCCAGACTATACACATCTATCCATGTGTGATGTTCCCCCTCCTCCTCCCCCCACAGTGCCTTCACTAAGTTGTCCAGCTGACTTTCTGTGTTACAGCTGCCCAGATGTTATGTTATGTACTCTAGCCATGGAAGATTTCCAATCCTGAAAAAGCTACACGCTTTTCATTATGGAGACAGGAACCTTTAAGTGGGTACTCAATAATGGATAAAGCCATATCATAGCATAAACCTTGGCTTATGCGAATTGACCTTATCGGTCAAAATCATAGCCTTTTCATTAAAATGACCAATGAATAATGTATCAGAGCGTAGTCTAAAGCTTCAAAATATGTTTTCAGACAGAACTATTCCAAGAATGCGAGTCAGGTATATTTCTCAGATAAATGACAGTAGGGGCATTGCATACATGAAAATTCTTGGTTCTCAGGTTTCCTGAAATCCAGCGCACGCATCATTAATCATTCATTGGGGTCGGCCCTTCAGTCAATGGCAGCTCTGAGTAAGCTGAAGCGAGCTGTTAGCTAATCCTTCCTGCCAACGGGATCCTGGGGCGAGAGAGGACAACTGGACAGCCAGTCACATGTGCTGGTGCCCGGCCCCTGCCCCTGTCGCCCGGCCCTGAGCGTGGGTGTGCGTGTGCGTTCCCTCTCCCGGACACAAGTCGATAGCTTCCCAGAAGGCAAAAAAACAAATTCGGCATAATATTTAGCGCGACGGAGAGTTTCCAACAGGAAAGCAGCCCGATTCATAGCATAATTGCTCAGAGTGTCTCTCTCAACGCTAAATAAACCCCTTCCTTAGCTCTTTAATAAATCAGTAACAGCCACTACCACACAATAGAAACAGCCTTCTCCTCCAGCCGTGCCACACCAACGCCTTCCCAAATTGGGCTGTGAATCCTTGCTTGAAGCTGTGGGATCTCCTGGAGGGACGCAGGTCCTCAGGGATTCCTGGGGCCAGAGTTGGGAAAGGGGTCTGCTGGGCAGAGGGGAGAGAACCTGGAAGTTGGGTCCTGGGGTAGGCAAGCGTGCTTTGCTGAGACGCGAGCGCGCGGCAGAGGTTGAGAGGACGAGAACTCACTCCAGGTTTTAACCCCCGTTTCCGTCGCCGCCCCCGGAGGATTCAACTGCTCGCAAAGCTGAATTCCGCGCAGCGCTGGCTCCGGTCGGAAGGTGGCTGTGTGGCGCGTGAGAACCGCTGGGGTGCGTGGCCCGGGTGTGCGCGTGCCCGGGGTCGGGGTGCAGCTCCTCTGCTCTGGCCTTCTCCTCCCCCTCACTCTCTCCCATCCCCTCCCTCCTCCACACCCCCGCCCCCGGGACCGCCAGGCTCTCGCCCGGCACCCGCCGGAGAGTACACAAAGCCGGCGCGGGTGAGGGGAAGCTTCTCAGGCGTGCACCGAGCAGTGAGATCACTGGCGTTATAAATATCCCAGTGCCAGCGCCGAGATCCGTTCGGGTGGCCTCTCTCTCCCCCCCTCTCCCTGTCTCTTCCCTGAGGCTATGTCCACCCAGTGCGGCGAGGGGGGCAGCGCCAGAGGCACGCAGCCGCACGGGGGCTACGGAGCCCAGAACCAGCCCTACAAGATGCACTTAGGACCCCCGCTACTGGAAGAATGAGCTTGTCCTTCGTCCTCCTCTTCCTCAGCCACCTGATCCTCAGCGCCTGGGCTCACGGGGAGAAGCGCCTCGCCCCCAAAGGGCAACCCGGACCCGCTGCCACTGATAGGAACCTAGGAGGCGCCAGCAGCCACCAGAGCAGCAGTAGCGCGCCTTCCTCTGCTTCCTCTCCCTCCGCGGCTTCTCGCGGCAGCCAAGGAAGCGGCTTGGAGCAGAGCAGTTTCCAGTGGACCCCCTCGGGGCGCCGGACCGGCAGCCTCTACTGCAGAGTGGGCATCGGTTTCCATCTGCAGATCTACCCGGATGGCAAAGTCAATGGCTCCCACGAAGCCAATATGTTAAGTAAGTTGCTCGCTCTCCTGCAAAACACATCCTAAGCGGCGGCGGTAGACTCGGGAGGGGACAACCGGTTATTCCTTGGGCCACCGGCGCACCTTCCGAAGCCTTGGCTGCTGGGACCCAGCTGACCCTTCGAAATCTCTGGGCGCGTTGAGTGGAGATGCGTCTATATGGCGCGCACACACACGCACCCCACTCGTGGGTATAGGGAATGGCGATTCCTGAGGTGTAGGCTATCCTGAGGCTGGTGCACAGAGAGGCACCTTGTTTCCAGTTTACCTTAGTCCCAAATAGGAGGCTCCAGCCGGTGCCTGGAGAAAAACCAAAAATCTCCTTCCTCGGTTACTTTCTGTTTACTTTCTGCTTCTGTTTACTAGGCTAGCATTTTTCATTAGACATCAAAGTGCATCCCTTTTTCCAGCCAATAACTGAAAGTTATTTTTTTAGAAGAATCAAATCTCATACACCCTGAACTGCCACCATTCCTCCCCACCCCCCAAATAATAGATAATATATGACTATGCATGTCTATTGTGTTTTACACGTTTGCACGTATCCTAGGGGGAGACCAGACATCCCCTGCCTGTGATAAGACAGTGATCTGTAAAACTGGATACGTTTGCAGAGGGCGATGTGATGGACATGTGAATAGTTAACTCTATAGTTGGATTTAGCAACGTTTAGTGTTTTGAGACCAAGACAACCGCTTGTTAGGAAGAGTGGCCAGTCTTTGGTCACCAAGGACAATTAAAGGGAAGTTCTTTATTTTAGAAGAAATTCAGAGGAGGTTCAATTCGGTATAGGTCCAAATTGTGCAGGTGTTTTTTAAGCCCAAGTTTTAAATTCTCTGAGAGTTCCCTTTAGCTCTCTCTCCCTCCCCCGCCTTTCTCATCTTCTGTTCCCTTGCACCCTGCATGCGTTCCTAGACCATCACTGACGCTATACAGCTTCCTCTCACTGCCTTTAGGCAGCTGAGGGGAGAGGTGGTTTAGAGTTGGGGTTTTGTGCGGGACTGGGGCGACGTCTGCGAGGCTTTACCTCGGTAGGACCAGACAGTTGTTCCCGCGGGGTTAGTCCAACTGACAGAGCCACAGCCCCGGCCTCTGAGATACCAGGAAGAGCGGAAACGAGGCCGACAGACAGCACTGCTCGCGATCACCCCGCTAAGTGTGAACCTGGTAGAGCTCCCAGGTATACTTCAATCGCCACCCTCTGTAAGTTTCAATGTTTTGACCACTATTGCTTTCCTTCTGCCTAGAGCAATGCCTGGCCTACAGACATCACACTTAATTTGTTGGGTGTATAAATTCCTTGTTTAAGGACAAGGAAACTGAAGCTGGTCACTTGTTCGGTCTCAAACCAAGGACCCCACTGGCCATAGGGCTTCTTACCCAAGCTCCGGAGGATCGCTGGCGCCACAGCGGGGCTGGCATGCTGGCAGCCGCCTCCGGAGCGGGGTTGGAGGTGTCCACATCGGTAGGGTGGCCGGTAGAGTGGCCGGCTGGCAAGCCTCCTCCTGGGGATTCAGGAGGCGGGGTGAGAAAGCTGTGGAGGTTCGCGCCAGAAGAGGAGCGGGTCCATGCCCGCCCCCTGTCCCTGACTAGTCATTCGGGTCGCGCAGCTCCAGCTGGCTGTGTGCACGTGGTGAGGTGGCCCTCCACATACGTCCCAGCGAGTCCCAGGGCCATCCCCACGCTTCTTAGAGGAGCCTGTTTCTATGTTTTCAAGGTTCATTTTACTCTTATCAAACAACTCACCATCTTCGGTGATAAACGGCACGGTCTGTTAGGGTGAAGGCATTTTCTGAGATTTTAAGAGCAGGGCGAGTTCCATGTACTTCACTATTTCCATTTGTCCTCATTTTGTCCAACCCAATTCTTTACTCCATCAGACATCAGAGCTCATTTCCCACTCCTAGGAAACCTTTCCCCTCTCTCTTATGTGAAAACCCTTTCTATTTTGGTCTTTTTGTAGCTTATTCAGAAAATCAGCACCAACAGAGGATAACTTCTGTGTTCAAGAGGAAAACCCAAAGTTAGCATGCATCAAGCAGCAGCTTGGATCCCAGGGGAGTAAAAGAATGTGTCTGGAGTGGGTTTTGGTGTGCTAGGGATCTCTGAAAACCAGGCTTGTTTCTAAGATATCCACCTTCTTCTCTTGGAAGAAGCCATATAGACAAGTATTTTTTGCCGCTTAGGCCTTACCCAAGGGGGCAGTTGTAGAAAAACATAGGAAGAAAAATGAGAACAGCTCAACAAAGAATACACTCAGCTAAAGAAAACTTTGACCAATCTGTTATTTCCAAGGTACAATTTATTTTAAAATCCACTTTGAAGGATATCTACAAAAGAACAGGGGTGTTTCCTAAACAGTGCCTAGAAGAACTTCCTTAATTTAATACTTTCTTAATTCACTCCAGTTTACAATAGCCTTTCAGAGTTTAGTCTGCATGTTTCACATGGCTTTGACCATTCATTCACTCATTTATTCATGCATCCAATATAGGATAGGTACCTCATCAAGATTGATATTTTGATTACTTTCGGGTTAATTGGGGAATTTGTTTGTTTTTGCCCTCCATAGGTTTTTCTCATAACTTAAAGCTCAAATCATGGTGATTTTCTGCTTTATGGTGTCTGAAGTGTTTAATACTATTTCATAAGATTTAGCTACCATTGATCCATAAAAAATCTATGAAATATGTCATGTTTAGTAGGATAACATATAATTTGGAAATTTAAAATACATCTCTGCCCTGTGAAAGAGAAACAGAAGCAAGCTAATTACAGTTGGTCATATACCCCTTTGAAGGCATAGTACTGATGGTTTTCTGACACATATGTAAACGAAGGCACTGGTCATGGACTCTTGGTTAGGGTATACCATGAAACATACGTCTAAGTCTCACAAGAGACATGGAGAGCTGGGGCCATAGCGAACCATAGAGGATACATCAGAGTTTTACCGCATTATCTAATTCTACTGTCCGAGTAAACAATGATAAAACACATATTTTGTTGTCACAGCTTGTAACTTCAGAAAAGTCAAAACTTTGCCATTGAGTTATTCTAAACTCAATAATTTTCTGTAATATTTGTCAGAACAGACAAATATGTATAATTTGTGTATATATATATATATATATATTTTCCAACTATCATTAGACATTAACATTTTTGCAAACTGAGTATCTTCTAGTTTCACCATCAGAAGTACACTCTGGACATAGATTTTTGAAATATAATTTATTTAGTTAAAATATATTGCCTAATATATTCTTAGCTCCTCTTGTACAATAGTTATCCCAAGTTTTGAAGACAGAAAAAAGAATCAAGCTCATTTCACATAAACTCTTACTATGAGGAAATCCTACGAAAGGATGAAGAAAGATGGATAAGATAGATGATAAAATCCAACTACTGAATAGAAACAAAGGCTTTGCTTTAAGTTATATGCTTTCAAGTTTAGTTTCAATAAAGTGCTTCTGATGACTTACCTTGGGTCATTGAAGAATAGACAATTGTCAAATTAGGGAGCAAAAGATTAAGGCTATGGCTTCACAAAGCCAAAGCGTTCACACAAAATATGAAAATTCCTATCATATATTTCGGTTAAACTGAATTCTCAATCTTACTGAATTTTAAAAATCTTAGTTCACTATCAATTTTGCTGTCATGTAGAACCAACTTTTATATACTCCCCCAAACCTAGATAAACCAGAATTTGTATCTACTGTATAGGAGAACTCAAGCGTAAAATCTCTATTACTAATTGAATCAATGAAGACTGCTAAACTGGGTATTTTAAGACTAAGATTTGATAACAATGCAGCATATCTGTTGCTGTGTGAACACAGGTTGAGAAACTTCAGTTTTAAATTATTTTTCTTTGAGGATTTTCAGATGCGCTGCTGAAAGCCTCTGAATACATTGAATATCTGTGTCTGATTCACTAGGAAAAGAGAAAAGGGAGATGTCTATCTTATTATATTAGCCATCATTAATAGAGTCCTGTTGTTTTAAAAAAAAACCTGGAAGGGACTAAGTAAGAAATCTAGGTATGTATTTTCTGACTGAAATCAATTTACTTTGGATTACATGTCCATGTTTGTAAATATAAGTGGATTAAACAGTGTGTGTATAATCTGAGAGACATCAAGTGCTTGCCTCCTTCAACCTAGGTGTCAACCCCAAAATTCCACCAAGAGAAAATTCCTTCTCTGAGCACTGCCCTTTTCTTTTGATCCTCTTAACTGTGAATACCCTAGGAAAAAATAACACATTGTCACTAGCACTTTAATGTGAATTAATTTATACTGATTCTTTCCCCTTGCCCCACTCCCCAAGCAGGAGAGGATGAAAATAGCAGGAGAGTACTATAACGTGTGTCCATAAACTTGTGTATATGGGGTGCCCTGAAAAGGGAAAGAGAAGTAGTGAGCTCAAAGAAAATGATTCAGTTTAGCTAACATTCATTGCCTATGATCTGTGAGACACATTTGGCCTTCTACAGTTTTGCTTAAGTATGCCATCTTGGTATCCACAGTGTAAATTGTAAATTCCCATTAAATTTATTATTACTGACTCCTACTAATAAGAGTCAAGAAATTACTGACATTGAAAAAAAATCAGCTTTAGAGAAATGTTTCTTGGGATTTATATATGTATGATTTGATGTACATGGGCTTAAAATATGCAGAATTTTTAGTGAGTTACAGAGATTTGGCATATAAAAGCATAGTGATCTCTTGGGAGGGCAGGAAGTTGAATTGTGGAGCTTGTAGAATCTGCTTTAATATTCTAGAAAAAAAGGACATTGAAATTACTTTCGAAATTCTGATCTTAACAGTGTTCACAATATTATGCTGTAATTACATTAAGATTTAGAAGATCATACCAAAGTTACATATGTGAGAAAATTATTTCCTCTAATCTCATCTTTTTACTCTGTATTTGTCATAATTTTAAACAGAACGATATATGTAAAAGTATATTTTTTTCAGC